CCCCTCCATAAGATCTGGTGCAACCAATTACCTTCAGAAGTCACATTAGGTACATAGAGACCACCTGTGTGTGTGCAATCTGTTACATGATCTCAGTATCTATAACCTGTTCTGAAAGGCCCCAGAGTCTGCAACACCACCGAGTGAAGGTGGCCATACACTGTACAACCATCGCAAGACCTTAGCCTTGCGATGGTTGTAAAGTGATTAAAAAAACATTCGATCTGCCCATCTTGGACAGGCAGATCGTACTCTCGATCATCGCAAGCTTGCCCCCCTGAGGGGCGGGCTTCCGATGACCGCAATGCTGAACGGGCAGTGTGCGCGTGCGCACACCGGCCCGTTCGGCATTTGTCTCCCGAGCACCGTTCAAACCAGCCGAAAATCGTACGATTTTCGGCTGGTTTTCTAGCGTGCTCCTTAGACAAGACGTGCGACCGTACAGTAGAAACGGTCGCACGTCTTCGTTCACACTGCTCGATTCTCGTACGAGCAGTGTATGGGCACCTTAAGGTCTCGTGCACACCTAGGCGTATTGCATATGCGCGTCTGTCGCGCGTTTTTTACCGCGTTTCGCGGTAAAGTCGCGCATTTTCGAAGGCTACTTGGCTGTATCCCAATGGAAACGCGCAACAAAACGGCCCAAAGTAGTACATGTACCTTTTCAGGCGTGGGCCGTTTTGTAGCGCGTTAGGGACGGGCGGAAATACGCCAAGGTGGGAACGAGACCATTGAATACAATGGAATTTATATTTTGAGCGTTTTGTAGAGTGTTCGTCGAGCGTAGAACACGCTACAAAACATTCAGGTGTGAACAAGGGCTAAGGGGCGCCACAAGGACCAAAGAGTGCTCCAAACAAGCCTGGGACAAAGTTGTGGAGAAATACAGATCAGGGTTGTGTTTATTTTTTTTAATCCAAAACTTTGAACATCCGACAGCGCACCATTAAATCCATATTTAGAAAATGGAAGGAATATGGCATCACAGCAAACCTGCCAAGAGAGGGCTGTCCACCCAAAAAATTGGGTAGTGGGGCTGTCAGTATGTTAGATGAAGTGCGTTTTCTGTGTTTTTGATGTGTTTGTGCGTTTCCGGACCGGAGAAAATGTTTCATGCAAATTTTTTTCTGTCCGGAGCGGACTGCGCTGGTGAGAACTGTAGCCCATAAAGCACGTAGGGAGACATTGGGATGCATTTTGGGTGCAGGAGCACACGGTTCTGGTCCAGACATCGTGTGAACAAGCCCCAAGCCGTGCACTCCATAGAGCTGGCCTTCATGGAAGAGTGGCCAGAAAAGGCCATTGCTTACAGAAAAAAATATAAGCAAACACATTTGCTGTTTGCCAAAGGCACGGGGGAGATTCCCAAACATATGGAAGGAGGTACTCTGGTCAGATGAGATTAAAATTTATATTTTTGACCTGCAAGGAAAATGATGCGTCTGGGGCAAACCTAAGATCTCTCATTACCCTGAGAACACCATTCCCACAGTATAGCATGGTGGTGGCACCATCATGCTGTGGGGATATTTTTCATCGGCAGGGACTGGCAAACTGGTCAGAATTGAAGGACTTATGGATGGCGCTAACTACAGGGAAATTCTTGAGGGAAAACCTGTTTCAGTCTGCCGGAGATTTGAGACTGGGACGGAGGTTCACCTTCCAGCAGGACAATGACTGAGGCTGGGTACACACCTAGGCGTATTAAATATGCGCGTTTGCCGCCCCAAAGAAGCTCCTGTGCTTCTTTGGGCGTAGGGCGTTTTGCAGCGTGTTCCTACGAGCTGTAAAACGCCCAGGTGGGAACCATGCCCATAGGCAATCATTGGTTTTCGGATGTTGAGCGTTTTATAACGCGTAGGAACGCGCTGTAAAACGCCCAGGTGTGAACCAGGCCTAAGCATACTGCTAAAGCAACACTCAACTGGTTTAAGGGGAAACATTTAAATGTCTCGGAATAGCCTTGCCATTGCCCAAACGTCAATCCAATTGAGAATCTGTGGCATGACTTATGCCAGCATAACCCATCCAGCTTGAAGGGGCTGGAGCAGTTTTGCCTTGGAACAATGGCAGAAAATCCCAGTGGCTGGATGTGCCCCCCAAGAGACTTGCAGCTGTAATTCCTGCAAGAGGGGGGATGCACACAAAGTGGTAGGCATGTTGTATATATCAAATTATATAACCCCCCCCCCCAAATGTAAATTTCAGGTGTTAGTGCAACAAAATAGGGAAAATGCCAAGGGGTGAATACTTTTGCAATTCACTGTATTTAGGTCTTTATATTTTTTTTACCTCCATTTCCAGAAAATCAGCTTCCAGTTTGCAGCATAAACCAGCCTATTATTTTGACTGCCATGGCTATTGAGTACTCTGAACTCGCACCCCCCCATCTACTCTCAGTTTTGGAAAGGATTAAAGTGGACTTTTACCCCCTTTCACTGAAAATCACATCAGCATTCAGCTCTGCATGCTGATTTAAATAATCTTGTATTCATTAGCTAAACAAACACGTTTTTCATTTTCTTACAAATAGAGTTCATCTATTTCCGGCTCAACTTCTGACACAAATGTAATGTGCCCAAGTGTTGCATCCTGGGAAGGTTTCATCAGCAGAGCATTGGAGGGAAATCTCATCTGTAATATACATACATTCATTTATTTGTCCCTTATGTTTAATTTTTTTACACTTTTATTTTTTATTTTTTTTTTACACTTTTTTTTAAACTTACAAATTTTATTTTATTTATATCAAGCAGTCATTGTGAATTAATCTCACTATTACTGCTTGATAAATACATTTTTGGTTATTATCAGGCTGCTTCAAACTTCAGAACAGCCGATAATAAGTTAGTGACGCTGATCCTGCAGCAGTTCAGGATTTAGCTGTTACTGAATGTTTCAGAAAACTGAAACATTCTACTTTCAAGAATAGATACATTATGTGTCTATTACATTACATTATGTATCTATTCTTGACAGTCAAAAGATAAAAAAAAAAAAACCCAGTATAGCTTGAGAGATATCTCTCGATCTATACGAGCTGTCAGAATGCCGGCTTTTGCCGGCATCTGTGTCCCTCTGCTGTGACTCTCAGACACCCGATATTAAGGTATCGGGTGTCTGAAAAAGGTTAACCCTTTCAGTAATGGATCTCTAGATAGTTAGACATCTATTACTGAAAGATAACCGCTGATTCTCAGCGGTTAGCAGCCTTCTAGTGCAGCAAATAACTCGTCAGTACAGTGTACGTGACGAGTCATTTGGTCCCTTTGTGGCTGGACGTACAGTGTACGTCTCCCGTTCCCTCTGCTGTGACTCTCAGACACCCGATATTAAGGTATCGGGTGTCTGAAAAAGGTTAACCCTTTCAGTAATGGATCTCTAGATAGTTAGACATCTATTACTGAAAGATAACCGCTGATTCTCAGCGGTTAGCAGCCTTCTAGTGCAGCAAATAACTCGTCAGTACAGTGTACGTGACGAGTCATTTGGTCCCTTTGTGGCTGGACGTGCAGTGTACGTCTCCCGTCACGAAGGGGTTAAGGAAGTGAAAGGAGAGCTAGTAATCTGTCCTTAGTAAACATGGCCACTGTCAGAAGACTGGGGAAGAAAAGAGAAATAAAGGAAATAAGGAATGCAAAGAATACAAAGCCGGCAATAATCTAGAAGTATGTGTTTGTAGATTGTCATCGCTAAACATTTCTAAAGGTGTGTTTTGTTATTTTAAAGATGTAACTTTAAAAAGTTAATTTAAAAAAAAAAATACTTAGCCCCCCCATGTGATAGCAGTCAAAGTAAAGTAAAAAAAAAAGTTTTTTTAAATGAAATGTAAATAAAAGAAATCTAATAATAATAAAAAATTATTGTTGGGCTCCGCTTCAGCTGCGGCGTCTCAGTATACCGCTCGCGGTATACTGAGCCTATGGTGACGGGAGGACGCTAGTTTGTGTCTTCCCGTTAACCTAAGGAGGACTATGGGGAAAAGCCTTAACCCCATAGTTCTCCTTTTTTAAAGTGAAGTTTAAAAAGTCTCCCGCCCCTTGCGAAGGCAAATGGAAACAAGTTGGCTGACGATCGCCATTTGCGCCAGAGTGCAATAATTGTTGGGCCAATATTCATGGCTAACTCTAAACTGATGATCGGGCTGTATGTATCTTTTGTCCAATTTTGGTGTTCCTTTAAATAAGTTTGGTTATTTGATTATATTGATTGGAGTATTTTAATTTTTTTATAATCCATGAAACTAATTAAAATGTCTAATATACCTACAATTATTTAAAAAAAGGTGTCAAAACGTGCCATTAATTTCAGTGGCACCCCAAACGCGCCTCCTGGGCACACGCAGTACCGCAATGCTGTGCAGTGCGGTTGCAAACAATTGTGCGTGCAGTTTCTGTTGTATATTGATATATATAATTTCATGGTTAATCGGAAAAAATTGGCCAACTAATCAATCATGAAAATAATGGTCAGTTGCAGCCCTATTATAGACCATGCACTATCCTTTAGTACTTCTTGGTTTTAAATATTGCTCTGTTTTGTTAGGTTAGTTGTTCTTTGTCAGTATAAATAATACACTGTGGGGGTAATTTATCAAAACTGGAGCAGCTGTGCATGGCAACCAATCAGCTTCTCTCTTCACTTTGTTCAGTTAAGATTTGAAAATGAAAGAGAGAAGCTGATTGGTTGCCATGCACAGCTGCTCCTGATTTTGATAAATTCCCCCAATGTACTTGGTTGCATGGTTAGCGCGACCAGCAAGCTGTTTATGCCTTGCTTAGGTGGTCATTCGCTTTCACACCAAGCATTAGGTTTCTTGATTGAAACAGAGAGCCGTGTGACCTCTGTGTGCTGTGATGAGGGAAAAGCTGCATCTAAGGATTCCTCCAGCTCCTCCCTGGCCCCTGCAGACAGTAATAAGACAGCAGATTAGAATAAGCAGCTTGCAGCCTCCAGCATCACGTTTCTCTTCAGTAAAAGTCTCTGCCTTTTCTTTACAGCTTTTACACAGGAACGATACCTCCTTGTAGCTCTGTGTGAGTTATGAACAGGAACTGAAGTTACTTGATTTGCCAGCTAAGAGAAGAACCCATGATTCCTATATGCCCTGTAGTTTCATTCACCTATGGTGAGTATTATTCACTCGGTCCATGAGCTGTAATCTATATGTTTGTGTTCTGAGAAAGTCTCTCTATCCTCTCCTCTTCTTGGAACGATGACCAGCGCTGTACTTTATAATCTACTAATACCTTGAGCCGGTCACCTGAAGAACCTGCTATGTTGTGCAGTTTTACTCGGTCATGCCTCGAGTCTTGCCTGATATATTCCCACTCTTAAAAACTGTAAAATGTTAAGTCATTGAAATTTTTTTTAAATATAAGTGTTAAAGTAGCTTTTTGTGTTTTTTGGCTTGTGGTGTCATTGTTGTTCTGACAGGAGATTGTCTGACATATCCTAAAAATGAATCTTGTGTGGCGCTGCACAATCCCGACTGTGCTGGATGTAATTTAGAGGGTCCACGCAATGGCTGCAACAGATGGTGGTGCCATTCTCAGCCAGAAATACGTCGTAAGAAGTCACCAGCCCACCAAGATGCATTTTTGCTGTTTATTGTAGACACTTAGAGGTCTGTTTATGAACTGTTTGCCCTCCAAATCTGTGAACATTTATTCTTTGCAATTAGTGGCAAAAATCAATTTTTTTTTTTTTTAGTGTGTACATTTTATTAATTTTTTTTACCAGGTGAAGCGTATGCCCACTAGATGGAGCATAGGAAATAATGTTCCTCGATTCCATCTAGCGCAAGGGTCTCAAACTCAATTTAGTGGGGGGACAATTTTTTTAGTACCGTGGGGACCCCTACTATATATGGTACCAGTTTTAATGTATGCACATGTTACAAGTGGGCAACTGTCACCGATTCAAATTAATGATCGGGTGACAACTGCTGCATGTAAACGCCTTCACACCGCATGTAATCATATTTACATATGTACATGCAGCGGCTGTCACCTGATCATTAACTTGAATAGGTGACAGTTGCTGCATGTAAACGCCAGATTAGGGATTCCTGCTGCAGCAAAATGCAAGTTTGTGACACAGGAATCCCTAATCGCACCTGAAATATAGGGGACCCCCCCAAAAAATACACTTCACCCCCCTTCCAAGCCCCCCGCACACATTTAATACACTGTCCCCCTGCACACATATTAAACTTCCCCTCCTCCCTCCCAAGCCCCCAGCACACATAGTAAACTTTCCCCCTCCCTCCTTTCCTTCCAAGCCCCCTCACCGGCTTGCATCTTTGCAGGGAGGAGGCACATCATCGTTCCCTGGTGATCTAGTGGTGATTAGTAAGGTCTAGTGCAGACCTTACTAATGATCCATCATTCGGCCGGAGCTCAGAACTGCCAGAGCTCCGGCCGGAGCTGACAGGAGCAGCTCTGCGGTCTGCATCCGACAGAGATGCAGACCGTGTAGCTGCTCCGGCAAGTCGGGCACGCGGTCCGTGACCGTGTGCCCGACTTGTCAGTTGGCTGCAGGCCGGTACTTTGAGACCCCTGATCTAGCGGCTTTAATGGCGCATTTTCCGGATAGTATATTTTCAAGTCAAATGTATTAAGAACATTCATTTTTGCCTCTAAGCGCACGGAACGAATGTTCAGAGATTTGCGGGGCAAGTGGCTATGCGACTTGTTAATAAATGGACCCCATACTGTCACATGAGTCAACATGCAAATGTTTTGGGTCCTCGCTGTGTCCTCATGGTCATGGCAGCTTCTTCAACAAGGAAAGGTACCCTGGTAGACCCTGAAAATTGGCATATTGACCTATGTGCTATAATGGGAGGTATTTATTAAAACTGGAGCAAACAGAGGGGTTGCTCATGGTGACCATCAGCTTCTATACTTTAAGGAAAGCTTTGTAAATGAAAGAGAAAAGCTGATTGGTTGCCATGAGTAACTGCTCCAGTTTTGATAAGTTAATTACAATAAATCAAGGGAACATCTTACTTCCTGTTTGACATAGTTTTATTTTCTGGGGATCTTAAAGGGCAACTACAGTTGCAACTAAAAGAACAATCCAGCACAACACAGGAAAATGTCTAGTTGAACACTTGTATGTATTCAAGTGTTGCTGAAATAAAAAGCACCTGTAAAAGAAGAGATGTTCTACTTGTCAGTACAAGCTCCCTTTCATGGAATCCTAATATTGCAGCACAGCAAAGCCACCCAAAGAAATCATCGTACTGGATACTTCCAGCGGTTTGATGTCCCAACATGCTCTGTGGTTCGGTCTCTGGCTCCTATAACACTACTGTGTTCATGAGTGATATGGTCAGATACATGTGGGTCCCATCACACTCCTGATCGATATAAACCCATGGTCTGGGGGGTGCTGCAGGGACCATGGATGGTGCCTCAAATCAATCAGTAGTAGATGAAGTCACCGGCACTACCAATCCCTCCTTATTGAGGTCATCTCAGTGTAAAGCAATGTTTTGGAACCATGTCGGTCATTTCTTCAGGCATACAAAGTGATCACTTTGCCTGTTTAAAGGGACCGACATGGTTCCGAAAGTGGAGCAAATACTGACGTGCTGGTAATTTCTTCATCTACTATATGAGTGACATGGGGCTCGGGGGGTACAGACATCCAACACAGTTGGAAGTGTCTGATGCAAAGATGCTTCAGAAGGCTTTGCTGTTCAGAAGGATTAAAAGATTCCATAAACAGGCGCCCAGACAGGAGTATAAAGTCTCCTTTCTTACCCGTGCTTTTTGGCTTTCATTTACGTTTCAGCAAAAAGGTGGCTTTTATTCGACCTACTTGGTACATTGATGATATGCTGGTGTGTGAAAATTATAATGGTGTATGGAATGCTACCCCCCTTTTTAAAAGGAGTAAAATGTACTTTTCCCCATAGCTTGAGCCTGCATCTGTCACATGTTGGCTCTATAGATCAAGAACTGAGCAATCACAAACCGCTGATGGCTCAGCTCACGTCTTCTCCCTGCAGAGTATCATTTGCTCCCTGCAGGTATTCCCCTCTCCTCTACTCTCCTGCATTCATTGGAGGGACAGACAGGGGAGGGGGCGGGCTCAGCTGGCTCTGGCTCTAGAGAGGCGGAGTCAGCTCTCAATCATGTAGCAGTGTGGAGCCCGACAATGCACGGCTCTGCGCTGTCAGCATATAATGGGCAATAGCTGGTTATATGCTTACTTTGGGGTCACAGGAGGGCATTAGCAAATGTCCTCCTGTGACCCAAAAGACAACTGAAGCCAAAAATGCTTTGACTATAGTTCTCTTTTAAAACCCAGGAAATAAGCACAAAAGGGGCGCCTTTCCTGGTGCAGATCACTTTTATTTCAATAAAACATAAATAAAAAACCGAATCATACTCACAAACATGAGTGTCACAAAGTCATGAGGTGAGGACTGACAAGCAGTGAGATGTCCACTAGGTGATACCAGTGTAGTGGTGACGTTAACGCGTTTCCGGGGCACGCCCCCTTCATCAGAAGGTTCTTGTGACACTCATGTTTGTGAGTATGATTCGGTTTTTTATTTATGTTTTATTGAAATAAAAGTGATCTGCACCAGGAAAGGCGCCCCTTTTGTGCTTATTTCCTAGATTTCCAGCTTTCCCGGCTTCTTTGGGGCAGCATCCTGCAGTATGCCTAAAAGCAATTCCTATTAAGAACTGACAGTCCATGGCGCTTCATTGTTTTTACTCTTTTTTTTTTAAAACCCATATTAATGAGGTCTAAAGCAGAACGAGCCTGTTTTACTTGAAAAGCTCTGTAAACGCACACAAATATAAGTACACACTCCAGAACTGACTTCAGAAAGGGCCTCACATATTGATATGTCTTTTTTTACACATTCTGTGCCATTAAAAGAAAATCTCTGCCTGTTCTACATAAACCTGGCTACGCTGCTATATTACATTGTAGTTGTGTGTAAACTAAAAATTGCTTCCAACCAAAATGACTTTTGTTAAATCCGTTCTTGTCTGGAAAGGGTTAAGCGGTGGTTTTACTGATGGGTCCGCTGACTCTGTATCAGAAAGCTGCATGGAATTGGGAAGGTGACACCTCGGACAGTTGTTCAGCCTCAGCAGAGAATTGTCACTTAGACTAATTGGTGAACTGCTGTATGTCCAAGGGATTGGCTCTTGGTGACAGGTTTAAGGTGTTGTAGGACTCGACCCCGCTCCTTTTGACTATGTTTTACCATACCGTATATACTCGAGTATAAGCCGTCCCGAATATAAGCCGAGGTACCTAATTTTATCTGCTCCGGTGGGCGGCGCTCCGAGCGGGGTCATCTGGCAGTCTCCGGCTACCTAAATTAGGACCCGGAGACTGCCAGATGACCCCGCTCGGAGCGCCGCCCACCGGAGCAGCAGTGACGCGACGCTCGGTGAGGTAAGTAAGAAGAAACCTGACCAGCTCAAGACGCTGACTCGAGTATAAGCCGAGGGGGGCACTTTTCAGCACAAAAAATGGGCTGAAAAACTCGGCTTATACTCGAGTATATACGGTAAGTTATTTGAAATTCTCCCTTTTTACTAGTTTCTTTTCCTACGGCTGACACATCATCTGTTCGAGCTTCCCTATTTTCCTGATATTGAAGATATAAGTGAACATTATGTAAATATAGGGACACATTCCGGGTGCCTGTATTCCGCTATGATCACTTCTGTTGTCTACACACAGAAGCTGGCACTGCTTATAGAGGACAATTGACCCCCAGTAAGAAGGCGACTGATAGAGGTCTAGTTATAAAACATTGGCATAGCTATCCACCCAGTGAGACTGCATGTGTATTTGTTCTGTCAGTCAACCAGCTGTTGTGAGACTGGCATGGAAACTGATGTTCTTGGTGTCATTTTCTCTTCTGGTCCAATGTTCTTCAATAGGCATATTTATAAGGAAGAGTGAATGGAGGAGACTACCACATTATGGCTACTAGATGGAGCAGAGGATCATGGGAAATACATGGAACAATGTTTCTTGTTGTTCTGGAGACAGCTTGCCGTTGGAGGGATTTGGCATATAGATGTAACCACTGATACTACAGGGATAGGAATGGTTATATTTATATGCTCCATTCCCTTCAGCTGTCTCTTGAACTGTAACATTGTATTTCCTTAGTAACATGCTTTATATTCCCAATTCACTTTGTTCTGCATCAGTCTACCTATGGAATAACATTCGACCAGAGAACAATTACAGTGAGAACATTTGTTTATTTGTTCATTCTCACAACAGCTGATTAGCTTGCAAAGATCGAATGTAGATGCAGCTTTGTTGAACGCATAAATACACCAGGGCGTATCGGGGACGTGCTTTGCGAGACTTTGTTTCCGCATTTGGTGCTTATCCCCATTAGGTCCTTGGACACGCGCCGATGGCAGGAAAAGAACTTGTCACAAATTTGGCGACATGCTTTCTCGTTTTTTCCATGCTTTCTCATGCGTGCAAACACGTGGGGAAAAACCATGTTTGCTCACCCATATTTGGGGTGCACTGCCATTAATGGCAACACAAAATCGTTCCACGTTTTTGAATACATATTGTGAACACTGGACGAGGCATGCACACGTGACCTTGATACGCCTGGTGTGAATGGGGCCTTATAGTTGAAGAAAACTTTGTTGGTCTGGGTGAGCTTATTCCATAATACGGCACATAACGACCTCCTGTGCTGTCGCTCCAGAATTGACTGGTCACACACACCTATCCTGGCTATCTACTAAATGTAAACTTTGAAAAATCCTAGTCCATCCTGAAGCATTGTAAAAGCTTAAAAATGCCAAGGGTGGTGTGCGGGGGACTATGGGAACTCTACTGACCTGAAGAACATTTGTGTGTGTGTTCCTTAATAACTTTTTTTTTTTTTTTTTTCTTTTTTGCGCTCCCTTTTTCTCAGTGCCCAGCCGGCTTGGTGAAGAGGCCAAAATGGCTACTGGCAACTACTTTGGCTTTACTCATGGCGGGGCCGCTCAGTACAGGTAACAAGTGATGTGTTGTAGTCTCTGTGTGTACCCACCTGCACGGGTATCTTAATGTTACTTGCAAACAAGATCACTAGCACAGCATGCTGTTGCTGAAGCAAGGGGAACACGTTTGCTAAAATAAGCATTGTCCTAGAAGAGCCTGGTCCTCGGCAATGTGCCTGTGACCTTTGCTTCTATGCCAGTACATTATATTGCAGGATATGACCAGGCAGTGTTTAGGTGCACATGCTGTGTGACATAGAAAAAGACAGCCAGTTCACTTGTATATTGGAATCCTTTTCACACAGAGATGTGGTCGAGGGCCCTTCTTTGAGGTCACTTAGGACGAGGGCTATATGGTCTGAGAACTGAGGCAGAGCGTTACAGAACATGCAGTTTATTGGACTCCATATAATTGCTGGGTCCATTTTTACAGCTTTGCCTGGGCAGTAAGGGCGGATGATTGAACGGAGCTCATCGCCAACAGTTGGTGGGGCTTCATGTTCAGTTTCTATGTACACCCTGGGTCTCCGATCAAAGGGGCTGGTACAGGGAAGTCTTAAAGACTAACGCAACACAATGTTCTGCATTTCAGCTCTGGTAGAAACTAAAGGAGGCTTAAAAAAAAGTGTATGTAACCCTAACCATTCTGATCCCATTTACTATCTTTTGGTCTGTCAAATATATACAGTATTACTGAAAGTTTTATTATCCGTTCAATAGCTGAAAAAGAAATGCCTGTTGACTATGTCAGAAATAAGGAGCTAACAGTGTTTACTAAAGGGAGTCCAGTTAAGCCTTGTTTTCTACACATAACAGTCTCTTGTGTTGTGAATAATGGCATCAGGGGTGGGATTGAGTAGTTCAGAAAATAAAAAACTAGGCAGGTCAGACATCACTCAGTCCACTAACATCCTGCATGTTGTCAGCACATCAATAGGTATGTTGTGGGGTCTTTTAAAGAGAATAAAACAAGGGAAATTGTGTATGTGCTGCATTTCTTGTTTGTTTTTGTTTTTTTCCTCTAAAGAATGCATTCAAGTATCTTAACTGTTAAGAATACTGATCCTCAAATCATCTCTGAATTGGTGCTGACACTGTCCTTCCTTCTGGAGGGTGATTACTTTTGTTCCCCATGGCCCTGTGTGTGTTGTAAAGTAGCCACCTCTCCAAGCTCTCTCCTGTGATGGACTACAATCTCATGTTTAGTTTACGGATTTGTATTGAGATTGTAGTCCATCACAGGAGTGAGCTTGGAGAGGTGACTACTTTACAACACACACAGGGACCATGGGGAACAAAAGTAGCCACCCTCCAGATGGAAGGACCGTGTCGGCACCAATTCAGAGATGATTTGAGGATCTACAGCCGAGTAATACACAAATAAGATACATTATTGTTAATTAAGGTACTTGAATGTATTTTTCAGATGTAATTCCTGAGTTTAGTGTCACTTTAAATATCACCTCTATTAGGAACAAGCTTGGAATGAGCCATTTCAATAGATTTTCTGAACTTTAGACTGGGGTAAAAGTCAGTAGCATGTAATCCCTTGGACAGAATTCAGTGTTTCCTTCTCTCTGAACATCAATTTAATCAGGGTAGCTCTTTACGTTGAAAGAAAAAACAAATTACCAGAAGACCTGAGGTGCTTACATGTTTGCACACGACTGTACGTGCTTCAATTCAATAACTTACTGAATGTTTCTTTTTTATTTTCTTTCCCACCTATCTATTCTCAGCCAGCAACCAGCATCAGGCGTAGCCTATTCCCATCCAACCACTGTGGGTAGCTATACTGTGCATCAGGCTCCAGTGGCAGCTCACACTGTGACAGCAGCCTACGCTCCAGCAGCGGCCACTGTTGCCGTAGCTCGTCCCGCTCCTGTCGCTGTGGCAGCTGCTGCAAATGCGGCAGCTTATGGCGGCTACCCGACAGCTCATACAGCGACCGATTACGGCTACACTCAACGGCAGCAGGAAGCTCCTCCGCCGCCACCTCCGGTCACAACCCAGAATTACCAGGTACCTTCTGTCAGATTGTATTTAACATTTGTTTGTGTATTAAACAGAAAAATATCTTGCAACAGTTTTTGTGGACATGTTTTTTTTAAAGTTATTTTGGGGGGGGGGGGGAAAATTGTATTCTGGCACGTTCCAGCTCTTATTCTTGATTTCCCATGGAAGAAATAAAAGCTTAAGTCGGACTGTCCTGGCTGGAAGAGTAAAGTTGCTTAATATTTTGAGGTTGTTTGAGTTATTAGTAGGGATGCACCGATACCAAGTACTCGTACTCGCCCAAATGCTTTGATGCCTTCCCCGATACTGGAACTTCTGGTCAGAGGAAGACTTCCTCTGACCGGCAGTGCCGTAGGGGGGAACATGGAGCCAGCTTCCCGTGCGACCAGACAGCTGGGCGACGAGTTATGACCGGCTTTCTGATTGGCCGGCAAGCCAGCTCGATGCTGGGAAGCCAGTTTCCCGGCCAATCACAATCAAGCCAGCCAAACAACATGGAGCCGGCTTCCCAGGCAATCAGGAAGCCGGTTGGCAAGTCATTAGCTGCCACCCGGCTTCCTGACTGCCCACGATGCCGGCTCCATGCGGTATCCGTACTCTGTATCGGCGAGTACCAAAAGCAAAATATCGGTACTAAATACCGAAAAAACTGGTATCGGTGCATCCCTAGATTAGTTGACATTTTGAAATCCCAGTATGTCAAACTTGTGTTTTTTGTAGCCCTTGCGCTCCATAATTCACAATGGCGTGCCCACTGATGAAAATGGGCCCTAAGATTGTAAATCTAGCAATCCTATTTAATGCAGTCAGATTGTGTGGTTACATTTTACAGATCTTGGATCTGATTCATACTGATAAGTTTGTATTTGATAAATGACCATGGTTTGTGTTTCTACCAGTGTTGTAGCTGTAAGAGTTGGTAATCTTGTTCATACTTTTACCAGGATTCATACTCCTACGTCAGGTCCACAGCTCCTGCTGTAACATATGACAACAAGACTTACTACCAGCAGCCAACCGCAACTGCAGCTGCTGTAGCAGCTGCACAACCTCAGCAATCTGTGGCTGAATCCTACTATCAGACAGGTAAGCGACTGATAATCTATCGGTATTTCTGGTTCTTTAAAAAAATGGCGAAACAGACTGTTTAATTTTTATGCTGCTATTAATGAAAAGGAGTAAGCTAATCCTGTCATTTTTCTGAAGCAATACATTTATTCTGAGTTATGAAGTGACACTAAACTCAGGAGTTAAATCTTAAAAATGAATTCAAGTACCTTATCTATTAACAAAATGTATCATATTTGTGTATCACTCGGCTGTAGATCCTCTGATTTGGTGCTGACACTGTCCTTCCTCCTGGAGGGGGGCTACTTTGTCCCCCATGGTCCCTGTGTGTGTGTGTGTTGTAAAGTAGTCACCGCTCCATGCTCGCTCCCGTGATAGTCTACAATCTCATGTTTAGTTTTCTAATTTATATTGAGACTGTAGTCCATCACAGGAGCGAGCTTGGAGCGGCGGCTAGTTTACATTTGTGCTCCATGGTACCTGTGTTTGTTGTAGTTACCGTCCGGAATCAAGGACAGTGTCGGCACCAATTTTAGAGATGATTTGAGGATCTACAGCCGAGTGATACAGAAATAAGATACCGTATTTGCTGGCGTAAAAGACGGGTTTTTAGACCCAAAAACATCGGCCGAAAATCGGGGGTCGTCTTATACGCCGGGTATACTGTATGTAGCTTCGGCTACATACAGTATACCGCGCTGAGTCAATCACGGCAGGCTTTCTATTAATACAAAGCCTGTATTAATTAATACAAAGCCTGCCGTGATTGGCTCAGCATGGTATATGGTATGTGGTATGACATCATCGGGCAGTGGTAAAACAGGCAGGTGACCATGGTTTCATGGTTCTCCCAGTTTTGGTGGGTTACATAAAGGTATACATAGGCACTGCTTGTTGCCTCCATTGTACTTCAGCAGTCTGTTTAGTACCTTGACAGTCCTTAAAGTTTATTTGAATCAAAAGTACTCTATGAAGGTATAGCTATAGCTTCAACCGCTGATCATAGATGGTTTGTAGATTTGTTTTATCACCTGTAATATGTTAATTTGTACATTTTATTAGGAATCACAGAGGAGTGCAATGATCACATAGTTTTTGTTTTTTTAAACTCCTCCAGGAAATTTGTTAACCCTTGCAGTGGAGCTACCCCTGCAATACAAGAGTTAAGTGCTTGTGTCTAGGTTTTAAAATAAAAAAAGTTATACTCACCCGAAGATCCAAGCCATCAGAGCTGGCCAGCTGTCTGGGGGGGGGGGGGGGAGAGAGGCTACAGGGACCAGTATAAGAGCAAGCTGGCTCAGAGAATCAGGCAAGTGTCTTGATTTTTATTTTTCTAGCACCTACAGAAAAACGAGCAGTTAACCCTTACAATGGGGAGCACTACTGCTAGGGGTTAATAAAAGTTTTGCCTGGAGTTCTGCTTTAAGCTAGCACATTTTTGGGGGGTAGGAGTCCCTTTTGCTGCATACTTGGATATACAATTTTTCAATGAGAAATCCAGGTCTTGGCAAGTTTTCAGCTGTTGGTCCCAATTGGCTTTTAAAAGTTCACATTTGCAGATGACAAATGAATCTATTAGTGATCAGCTATTTATTTTTATGGAGGATGTGCAATGCTTAGTCAACAGCTTACATTCAGCATAGAACACTGTGTATAATGCGCCATTCACTGCGGTGAATGAGAAAATCACATGACTGGCCTCTCCTCTAATCACAAAGGTTTCTCAGCAGCGTTAGGCTGGGCACACACCTTACAACCATCGCAAGACTTTTGTCTTGCGATGGTTGTAAGGTACTTAAAAAAAACGTACGATCTGCCTATCTTGCATAGGCAGATCGTACTTGCGAGGGGCGGGCTTCCGATGACCGCAATGCCGAACGGGCAGTGTGCGCTTGCGCACACCGGCCCGTACGGCTGTTATGGTACGGACATGCCACAAACCCGCCGAACATCGTACGATAAATCGGTAGGAGCCTGCAGATTATGCACCACGGCCTGCATTTTATGAATGGGACATAAAATACTGGCTCAGTCTGGGGTAATACTACGGTATCTCTCCATCAGTATCCAATCACTGCTATTAATAATCCTGTTAATGTTTAAATTGTATGAACAGTCAAGACTGCTTTCTGCAGGCTTCATTTGTTATGCCTTGTACAAAAGGGGCTGCTTATAAGTAGATGAATTAAGTTATAGAGTTATAAAACATTACCCAAAACTGTGCAACTAAATCACCTTGTTTTCTGCAATACATCTTTTCTTCCTCCTGTGTACCAGCTCCTTTCGCATTGTCTCTTCCAGTTGCTCCCAAGGTTGGCTACAGCCAGGGTGCTGCTCAGTACACTCAAGCTCAACAGACTCGGCAAGTGACGGCCATCAAGCCTGCCAACCCCAATCCAGCAACAACCACCTTCTCCATATACCCAGTGTCCTCCACTGTGCAACCTGTTGGTGCCGGTGCCACTGTGGTTCCTTCGTACACACAGGGCGCGACCTACAGCACAACTGCTGTTACTTACTCTGGTAATCTACTACTTTGCTTTTTTTTCTGCTATTGTTTAAAATAATAGAATTGGGAGCTTTTACCATCTTGTTTTTGAAGATGCATGTTCTCGGACATTCTTTATCAAGTGTGTTAATCAGAGTGTTAATCAATTGCCAGGTAGTAAAGCCAGGTTCAGGATGTGAACCGAGGAGCATGCACCTTTTTAAAACCATGTTTACTATGACCGCTCCTGTGTTAAAGGACAGGCTCCCTTTTCAAGCTCAGGGGCATGGGCACAGGCCTACATGTGCAGGAGCGAAAGTTCTGACCTTAGGAGCTTATTCCCATTCATGTGTAAACCAGTTTACAGCATTTTTACTAGAAAATTCACCTATCGGTTCCTTTTTGTTATCTGGAATTTTCGTTTATCACTAAGGAATAAAACCAAAAGGGACTGATCATGTGGGGTGGACTTACCCCAATTAGGAACACAAAAGTAATTTTTGCCGATCAAGTAAAATACAGCGTGCCCAAACTAGCGCTCTGCAGAACGTACCATACAATGGGCTCATGAACATTGGCGCAAATATAGGCATGTTGGTGTACAGTGTAAAATACATCTGTCTGTGTCGCCTGGGAGCCCTAGCTGCTGCGTTTTCCTGTCAATAGGAATGTATGGACAGAAAAACGCAGCAGCTAGGGCTCCCAGGCGACACTTCTGTATTTTGCACTGTATGCTAACAAGTCTGTATTTGCGTCAATGTTCATGAGCCCTTAATGTGGTCATTGTATGGTACAACGTTCTGCAGAGCGCTAGTTTGGGCACACTGTATTTTACTTAATCTTGATCAGCAATGGTTACTGTTGTGTTCCTAATTGGGATAATTCTACCCCACATGATCAGTCCCTTTTGGTTTTATTCTAATGGTAGTGTTAAAGGAAAATTCTAGATAACAAAAGGAACCGATTGGTGATTTTTATTTTTTATCTAGTTAAAGTGACACTAACTGCATATTAAAGGTTTAACTCCTGAGTTTAGTGTCACTTTAATGCTGTAACTGTGCTGAAGTAAGAACGTCCATTCTGTTTACCCAATTTAAATTTTGAAATGCACTGCAGACTTTTATTTTTTACGCAATATAGCTTGTTAGATTTCAGCCTTCCGCGGCATGTTGATTTACCATGACTAAACATTTCTACGGATGATTTTGTTGTCATTGTAAAGATAAGGGTAACATTCTTAAACTCCCGCTAGCATTGTACAATGTCATTTTACACCTCCCCAATCCATAGGCAAAAAAGGCTGCAGTCCTACTCTGAGGCCATTTTGAAGCTCTCCTCACGTTTCACGAGACTCCAATTGAATGGACTGTATTACATTTGTACATGGCCCCCTTTCACGACCCTGCTAAAAACAGAGATTTACTTCTTGTAACCATGCCTATATCCTGCTTTTAGGATGGTCTTGTTTATTCATGTGTCAGCATATTACTGCAATCCATGCTTACCACTATCATTTGTCTTCATCAGGTGCGGCATACTCGGGTTATGAAGCAGCGGTGTACTCTGCCGCCTCTTCCTATTATCAACAGCAGCAGCAGCAACAGCAAAAACAGGCGGCAGCTGCTGCGGCGGTAGCTGCCACTGCCGCCTGGTCTGGCTCCAACTTTACGAAGAAAACTACTTTTCAGAATAAACAACTAAAGCCTAAGCAGCCTCCCAAACCACCTCAGATCCATTACTGTGATGTCTGCAAGATTAGCTGTGCTGGACCTCAGGTACGCTGCTGGTCTCAGACTGATTATACATGGCATTAATACGTAGCGTTGTCTCATTTCAACTCTGTATGCCCGGTCAGTGGCCGTAATGTAAAGAAAAACATAGTGGAAGCGTCTCCTGCCTGTGATTGCTGATGTTTGTAAGGCATTAGGAATGTTTACATGGCCAGGCTGTGCAGAAAGTGTTTAACTTCTAGCTGTCATGAATGAAATGTCCTTTTGTGGGTAGTGTCATTTAGTGCCGTCATGTCCTTCTGCCATTTTAAATGACACCAAGTTTCGCTATTCGGTTACAATATTAGCTTTGGTTAGAATAAGAGGTGCACTGAAATTAGACATTTAAAAACCGAAATAAAAAAAATTGTCAGGGCAAAACCGAAAATGTTATTTTTTTCACATTTTTAAAATATTTTTATTTTTTATAAAATGTTTAAAAAAACATTTTTTAATTCATTTTTTTTTAAATATTTTTATTTTTTCACTTTACTTTTAGGGACTTCAGGGAAATATCAGGGGTCTAAACAGGCCCCTGATATTTCCCTTTTAAAATAGAAAGAGATTGAGGACTATCTCTAAGGACTGTGTTCTCAATCTCTTTTTCTGCATCCCCTGTTATCAATAAACATGAATCCTCTATACTGAGAGTTCCTGTTCATTCATAACATAAGAACATTGTATGTTTACTATAACCACCATCATGAATAAACAGGAGGGGATGTAGATCACCCCCATTCATTCATAATTGAGAATATAGTCCACATACCATGTCCTCATCTTATGTACAAACACTCAGCGATCGCTGAGTGTTTGCTCTCGCTCTCCTCTCTGACACGCTGTCACAGGATCGAGCAGTCTAGGGAGGAGAGCTCAGCCTCCTGCGACAGCACGGGCGGTCTCCACTCCCCACACCGCTCTGCCGGACTGTGATAGGAGGCTGAGCAGGGTGGGAGGAGAGACACGGGCCGCTCACAGCGCTCGTCCGGCTGTCGCTTTCTCTCCTCCCTGCTGGGACACAGCAGCGCTCAGCAGGGAGGAAAGAAAGCAGGGATGCGCCAATGTATCTGCAGGAAAATGCCACTTTCGGCATACAGCCAAAAGTGCAATTTTCGGCCGATATATCGGTGCATCCCTAGTTACAGTGAAGTCTCTCAGATATTTCTCTATTTTCCAAAAACACTGCGATTTATCTGAAGTGTATGCTTTGCTTCTGGGCGCCAAGACATTGCGGGCTCCCTTAGTACTCTTATCTCTTGCTAAAATGCTCTTGAATGCTGTGCGTGTTATCTCTTGACCCAATTTCCACCACAACAGATTGCAATAATAGAAATAGGTCCTCTGTTTCGGTGCCTTAGTCCAGAAGATTTTCAGTTTGTATTGGAGATCGTTAACTTTTGTCTTTTGTGTGTCACAACAGACTTACAAGGAGCATTTAGAAGGCCAAAAGCACAAGAAAAAAGAAGCAGCCTTAAAAGCCTCTCAAAACACAACCAGCAGCAGCACAGCAATCCGCGGGACCCAGAACCAGCTCCGCTGCGAGCTCTGCGACGTGTCTTGCACAGGGGCAGATGCCTACGCTGCCCACATCAGGGGTGCTAAACACCAAAAGGTATGTTGACGTGTGTGTGTGTAAACCCGATGAACCGTGTAGTCTAGCAGAAGTTCATCAACATGCTAATGGAATGCTTAAATGAAACCTTTCTGTATTCATTACATATTTGATCCAGTTACGTCATCAGTGAGTGTGTTTTCGCTATACAATGCAGGCAGATCATAGCTGGTGGGAGGAGCCAGCAGGGTGCTGTACATGGCTTCCTAAGGACATCACAGTACCCTGCTTCAGTATTCCTCTCAAGAGCCCTCAGACCTGATGCAAGCAGTGGTCTGGCTCCTCAGGAGTTAAGCAAATATTAAAATGCCTTGATGGGTGGCTGCCAGTCTGCAGGAGTGGGCATTTCTGGGCAGACAGTATTTGTATGCAGAGTGCCCTAGGTAAGGCCCACATGTAATGCTGAGCCTATGAGATTAAAAGTTGAAATGCTGAATTCCACTTAATATAAGGGTGGGATGAGGGCAAGCTAGGCAAGGGAAAAGGGGTGGGGGTAGATGATGATGGATGTCCACCAGCTGCAGGTTCTAATGCACACTGTGCGAAGCACCTCCACATCTTGTGATGTGAGCAGGATTCATAGAAGACAATTGTTCATGTGCCCTTGCAGAGACCTGTATTGCTCCGGTGTAGAGAAATGCAGGTCTGCGGACATAGCGTTAATGACGGTTTAGTGGTTTGGAAAATCGAGATGTTGCACATTGTGACATTTAGAACTTTGTTTTTCTTTTGCAACATTTTTTTTTTTCTGTTTCATTGTTTTGAAATGTTAATTTGTAATCATCCAATAATTCTGAAGTGCCTTTCAGTGACAGTACAAGCAGTGTCTTCTATGCAGCCAGGAAACACTGGGTTTGCGTTTAATATATAATTGCATGTTCTCATTTGCAAACTAGATCACTGGCTCTGCATGCTGTTGCAGAAGCAAGGGGAACACGTTTGCTATATGAACCGATGTAGGAAAATGAGTTGCACTGGATTCCAGTTTCATTGCCTATAATTTTTCTACACAACAGTCTGTCATTTGCATTCCCAAGTAGTTCAAAACTAAAGTGAACCTGTGCACAGATCATGCACATTAATGTATTTACATAAACCTAAAAGCCCTTTTTAAAGGTGAATTTCTCCACAGTGCCTATAGCTACACAGGTAAATGAACACTGAAATCTGAGCTCTTTTCTTAATTTCTATTGTCACTAAAGTCTGACAGGTTGCCATCTGTGTATTGTAAGCACTAAGCTGTTATACACTGAAACCAACTAGCGTCTTTGAGGATCTTGAACAATGAACACGTTCACAATAAAAGCGCATACAATAGATCGGTCAGGGAGGTCTTGTACCACTTGTTAATATGTAAATAGTTTGATGTCCATAGTCTGGGCACAAGTGCACTTTAAAGGAGAACTATGAGGCGAGTGAAAATCACTCGGCCTCATAGTTCTAGCCGACCTGTGACAATGAAACTGTCACAGGTTGGCTCAATAGATCGGGAAGTGAGTGAACGCTCACTTCTCGATCCTGTCCCTGCAGAGAGCCGTGACTGTCACTCATGGCTCCCTGCAGGGATCTCCATCCGTCCGTCCGAACCTCTAGCGCTGATTGGCGGAACGGACGGGGGAGGGGTGGGTACAGCTGGCACTGCCTCTAGATAGGCAGAGCCAGCTGTCACGCAGCTGGGTAGATCCAGACAGTAATGACTGGGTCCGCCCAGGGTGCGGTGTCTCAGTATTCCGCAAGCTGTAGCTCACGGTATACTGAGCTTTGGGTGACGGGAGGACGCTAGTTTGTGTCCTCCTGTTACCCTTAGGAGAACTATGGGGAAAAGCCTTGACCCCCATAGTGCTCCTTTTTAAGTGGAGCTGTGGCCTCCCATTGGGGAAAAAAATGTGCTGCAACACTTTAAAGTGCAACTAAAGCCAAAACTTTTTTTTTTTTGGTTAGAGTGGAGAGGTTTTAGTTGTCTATGTGCTCATTGGGAAAATTAGTTCTCTTAAGTTTTTTTTCCTGGTGACTTCTCACTGAAAGGGAAAGAAAATCCCAAATTGTGGGTTGTTCCTAGAACAGGAATAGATGGGAAATGTTCCAATGGAGACCATTTCTGTTGACCCTGCTGACCACCAGGGATTTCCTTTCGCTTCCTTTTTGGCTATCGGGCCTTTTAGATGTATTTTAAGAATCTGGATGGATTGTTTTTAAACCTTGGTGTGAAAAATCAGCTTAAAGTAGCCTTGTGGTCAGGCTATGGGCATTTCAGTATTTACAACAAACAATTGGTTTTAAAAGAAAACTGACCTCCTATAGCTGCAGATACTGTGGAGCAATTGACATGCTTATTTCATATGATCACGAAATGCTGCACTTTTCCATGTGAATGATGTGCAGTAGTTTATCATTGACAGTGACATGCTGAATTATGGCCAAGCCTTTCACACCTAAGTGATCCATGGAGAGGCCATGGTGGCTGGACAACATGTAGGTGCACTAGTCTTCATCATTGGAACAACAATCACAGCATCTACCCTCATCCTGCATGAGTACTACAGTGCAGGTTCAGTTTAATTCTGTGAACTGTGTTTATGGAACTGCTAATTCCTTACTCTTGTATGCCTCTTGTAGATGGGTGCTGAAGTGACTGCAGATGATGCCACCGTATCCAAGTGGAAATGTCACCAGCACACCAAGGTCCAAATACGTATTTGACGCGTGTACGTCTTGTCGCAAACGGGCAACGTTTTGGGGCTTTTTAGGGTCCCTTCATCAGACATGCTATGCCCTTGGTGTGCTGTTTCCACATGGAGCCGTTAATGTCACTCTGTCACTGATGAGCGAGCTGGGATTCAAGTTTTGTTTTACAGTCTGTCATCAAAGGGTGATATTGAACAATTCGTGTGTTTCCCCCTCTGGTTACCAGAGTCAGTATGAAAAACTGTGACCTATATGGCCAACATAAGTCACCCTTTTGTAGGTGACCGGTACACTTCCATTGGACCACAGGAAAAAAAAAATTATTACTTTTGGGCTCAATGTAATGTGCGTAATTTCCTCCCTCAGGTTGTGAAGTTGCACACCAAGCTTGGCAAACCCATTCCGTCAACGGAACCAAATGTCGTGAACCAGTCTGTCACTTCCGCAGCTGTCTCCAAGCCAGCTGTCTCGTCGAACAGTACGTCCAGCTCTAACGGCAGCTCCTCTGTCACACCTGCTTCAAAGCTGCCCACGTCTACGTCCGGCTCATCTGTCGGCACTATGAGCGCAAGCAAAATGTCTACCATCTCATCTAACAACATCGTGAAGAAAATAACCACACCAAAAATAACTTTTGTAGGCAAGTACATTTTTAACTCTTTACTGTTGTGAATGTGGAGCATTATACTCAATATAAAGCTCAAAGTATTAAAACGGACTTCATAATGTATAGGCAGAGAATGTGATGAAAATTTGAGATGCATTTTTGGTCAGTGTTGATCTTTAAAGGCAAAGTCCGCCTTTTGTAAAAAATGCAGCATTATTGATATTGTAATCGATGTGCATCTACTACTTTTTTTTTGCACTGAATTCTGTAGAGCATTGTACCCATGATCAGCATGTCGTGGGTGCAATGCACAGGCTCTGTCAATGTTTACAGGAAGTGCCCCTGAACTAGAGTGGTGAGGGAGGAAGATGCCAGCTCACTCTGTACAAATCCCATCTGCCACCATGGCAGATGGGACTTGTAGTGAATGTTTGTGCGGAAGCTAAGATTATGCCCATCTGCACTAAATTCATAAGATTACTGCACAGAGCACTCTGTAATTCAGGTATTGGGGGGTGGGGTATATTTTTTAGGATGGTGTTTAATACCGCTATTCATGTTACACCTGGTATAGATTTGTAAAGCTGGCCATACACCTATAGATTATCTGCAGATTTTTTTTTATGGTCACATGGAAAAAGTGCAACAGATTCTTGCTAGTCGGCCCCGCTGGCTCTCAAAATACCTGAACAATCTGATTGGGTGCAGGCATTGTTAAGGTATCCTCAGAGCCAGCGGGCCGACTAGGAAGATACTGAAGCTTGGCCCAGTGGGAGATTCCTCCATCCACACAGTTTAGCATAGATGGAGGAATCTGTTGCACTTTTTCCATCGGACCATAGAAAATCTGCAGATAATCTATAGGTGTATGGCTAGCTTAAAGCTGGCCTTTCACAATTTCTCCGTAGCTGTTATGGTGGCAGCAATATCAAGCCCATGCCTTCTAAATCAGATGAGTTTGTTTTTTTAAATTTCTGCTGAAAGCTTTTTAGTTGAAGTGATACGGGCATCTGTAAAGTCAGCCGATCACTTTTACATGTATGTGAAGTCCATTCTCTCATTTAACTCTAAACTGATGAGCTGTAAAGGCTTTTAAAGCGTCGCCTATGGACAATTTTGGGTACCGTATTTTAACACCTCGTCTTTACTTGCTCCTACATAGGTGGTAACAAATTGCAGTCCACGGGACTTAAGATTGACGACAGCAAAATGAGTGACAGTGTGAAGATAACTCCTAGTTCCAGTGTGCAGTCACCAGAAACAAAGATGGATGCCATGTCCGAAGCTGCTCAGACCCTCGCTGCTCTTCAGAGTGATGTCCAGCCTGTGGGTCATGATTATGTTGAAGAGGTATGTTGAAAAAATAGAGCCAAATACAAATGGAATATAAACAGCTGCCCTATGGCTCCGAAGAAAAGGTTGGTTCATTTCTAAAAGGTTATTAAACCCTTGCATGTGTTTGCATATATCTACTGCTAGCAAGCAGTAGATATATGCAAAACGATAAAAAAAACTTTTGCAAAGGGTTAATACTTAACTGTGTCTCCGCCGCACGTTCCCGTCCGAACATCTGAAAATTTCTCGGGCGGGCGCATGTGCAGTTCAGATGTTCGGCCGGGGGATGAGTAACACAAGGTAAGGTATATGGCGCAGCGTGCACCCGCACAGACACGAGCGAAGAGGAGGACAGAGGAGTCAGCGCTGGATTGGAGACCTGCACCCAGCGCTGGAGGGACAGCTATAAACTACAGGAAAGAAGATGATCGGATTAAGAGACTTCATTTATGGTAAGTCCTTACATTAGCACTGCGGGATGAGGGGGGGACTTTTGCTCTTTAAGTCACTTTAAGCAATGTTCAAGCTTTCAAAACACCATATTGCACTAATTTCTCACTCTGCTTGCTTCCCACGTACCAGCTATGATAAATGGCAGCTGTGTCTCAATCCCGCATACACTGCTTGGCAATTTAAAATGAGTCAGGGGTGAGGGAGTAGGGGCCAAAGAAGTGTTGCGCAGCACCGTACGCGCTGCATGGACGGTAGAGGCGATCAACGGGTGACCTTCTGCTTGCCTGGCGTGCTACTCACTGCAGTGAGGCGGCCGGTCGCCATCTTGGCCGGATTGTCGTGCGGGCCCGTCCGCTGATTGCTGCCGAAATACTTCCGAATACCGCTGGAAGAGGACGGAGGTGAGGGGCTCCGGGGTCGGCGAGGCTGTGACATGCAGGGAGGGGGTGAGTAGGGTCAGTATCGTCCGCTGGCAACGTGTGGGAGAGGAGACTGTGCAGAGCTCCGGGAAAGCACGTCCTCACTCAGCCATGCTCAGGCCACGCCCCCCTCTGCTTGGCAATTTAGCATAGTGTGTTCAGTAAGAGAACCCTTATCTATAAAGAACTCCTTGTGTTTAATTTTTAACTCCTTATTTTACATTCCTTTTCAATTTGGTTAGAACACAATCCTCTTGAATTGCTAAACACCTGCTAACAATGGACATTTAACTTCCAGTACCTGCTGGGTTAAAAGATCATAATTATGAAAAAATATTGCATTATTTATCGCATGTCATTTTTTAAAATGTATTTTCATTTAAAAAAAAAAATGTCTTTTTGGTTTCGGGGCAAACTTTAACAATGCTGGGTGATTTCAATGGTTGCCTTTTTTTTTTATTAGCATGGTTCACATCTTCCAAAAAACAAAACCATAACTGTTTAGAGACCCTGTCACCATTCCCATTCAGGGAAAAGGTAATGAGAGGGTCGGTTTAAAGCCCACCCTCTGCGCACGTCCTTTTCTTCTCCGCAGTGATCCTTTGCTGTCGGGGGCAGGATAATTGGCCAGCTTGATCTGCTTATATATACTCAGAAAAAATGGAAATAAGTGGAACTCCTCCACTGCGTATGTGCAAAAATGAATCGCTTTTTTTCTTTAATAAATCAGTGGAAGAGAGAAGTACATAGGTGGGTTTACAGAATGGAGGGAGCTTGGGTAGGAGTAACCAGCGGTATGACCTTCAGCTAGTAGTATAAAGGTGTCCATACACCTTACGATTATCGGACAAAACTTTTCGTACAACGGCCCCATCCTGCCCCGATCTCAAGGTTAATCTAGCCTTAACGAAAAGCACCTGGACGAAATGTGGTAATTGATTTGCCGTATTTTCGTTAGCGCAAGCGCAGTGTAGGTCATACGACTTGACGGACGGAAACGCCACCAACCTTACGAAAATCGTACGATCTAGCAAAGTTTTCAAACATGCTTGACCGTCAAAAGTCGTACGATTGTACAGTACTATCGGTCGGGCACTCTATTCACACGTTACGATTGCCGTACAAAAAGTCGATCGCGTACGAAAATCGTACGATAATCGTAAGGTGTATGGGCACCTTAAGCAGCTGGCAGGAGTATGGTAATTGACACTCATTATGGTCTCTTATGAAAGCCAAATATAATCCAATTTTCAGCTTTACATCAAAGGCGGCACACAGATCTGCTATGTATCCTCTACACTAGAAAAAAAAAGAAATAAGAGCCAAGAGATCAAGATGGCCACCATGAGTATTCCGGCAAATTCACGCTAAGAATATAATGGTGACATAACATAGAGTAACATTATTGTGAAAACTGCAAATCGACACAATAAGTCAATCCAGATCTAGACAGCTGAAGTTTAGCTCTGCTGCTCCCACATCATGCTTCTGTTTGGTGGGCCCAGGCGTTGCACGTTAGAACAAATAGAGTAAAGCTGGCCATTCACCTATAGATTATCTGCAGATTTTCTATGGTCCGATGGAAAAAGTGCAACAGATTCCTCCATCTACGCTAAACTGTGTGGATGGAGGAATCTCCCACTGGGCCAAGCGTCAGTATCTTGCTAGTCGGCCCCGCTGGCTGTCAAAATACCTGAACAATGCCTGCATCCATTCAGATTGTTCAGGTATTTTGACAGCCAGCGGAGCCGACCAGCAAGACACTGAAGCTTGGCCCAGCGGGAGATTCCTCCATCCACACAGTTTAGCGTAGATGGAGGAATCTGTTGCACTTCCAGCTGACCATAGAAAATCTGCAGATAATGTGTATGGCTGCCTTTTAGAGGGCCAGGCCGAGCTCAGCATTACTGGTAAAGTGGGTTTGCCTGTATCTCTGGATTTATTAAGCCTTTGCTAGTAGTGACCACTGTCATATAAAGTGACTGAAATGCATAAATTGTTTCCAGTCATTGTTCACACTTACAGCTCACTAAGTATTTTGATGCTGTTGCACCAATCTCCGTCAGATCTGAGTATTTTTGCCTACATCTGTTCCCTACAGGTACGAAATGATGAAGGAAAAGTTATCCGATTCCACTGTAAGCTGTGCGAGTGCAGCTTCAATGATCCAAATGCAAAAGAAATGCACCTTAAAGGGAGGAGGCATCGGCTGCAGTACAAGGTGGGGACTAGACTGGTGACAGGAGAATTCTGTTTATCAGTAACTGTACAGATTGAAGTAAGGATATGCCCATACTAAATTGCTTTCCGCCTTTTCCTCTTCTACGAACAGAAAAAAGTAAACCCAGATTTGCAGGTGGAAGTGAAGCCGAGCATTCGAGCCAGAAAGATCCAAGAGGAGAAGATGCGTAAACAGATGCAGAAGGAAGAGTACTGGAGACGGCGAGAAGAGGAAGAGCGGTGGAGGATGGAGATGAGGTGTGTGTTGGAACCTGTTTGGAGTGATTTAAAGTAAAATGGCATACTGTAGTTATTGGTAAAAATATAAAATGCCGCATGTTGACTTCCTATTCTGTGCTATAGCCATGTTTTCTAGGTCTACAGAGCCAGGGCCTTCCTTTGGCTTGTTTGGCCAATTTATAAATGGCCTGATTATGCCTTATATAGAGGTATAGTACACAAGTTACAATCTTAAGCCTCTCAATAGGATACTGGTGAATAATTACCCAAACTAAAGTAACATTTACTTAACTGTTAGCTACAGATGGGTTGTAGAAAAAGCATTCTCTGCAATGCTTGTCCAATACCTTGTGGGGTTTCATGTCCTTGACCCATCTCTGCTGAAGGTTCATAGTCTGCATGAGAACCCCCACCTATCTGTTCAGTTAAGCTGCTTAAGCAATGCAAAAATGACACTCCACCCTCAGAGCAGTATACCTTCTAAACTTGGAAGGCACTGAAACTTGGATACCGTCACCCTGCCCATGCTGAGCAAACGAAATTGACACTGTCTAAGCAAATGGCTTCTTCCAACCCCTGTTATATTCTTTTAACCTGCTCTCCCTCGCAGCTCTTTCCTTCACAACCCCTTTCTGGTGCTTTCAGGTATGGGGTAATATGACATGCTACCCCGGCTCCCCCTCGGAGGCTGATATCAAAGCCAGATGCAGAGGAAGGAGCTGTGAGGGGCATTGGTAAGAGTATAAAGGGAAATAGGTTTACCTCTGCATGGACAAGGAGCTGAGTTGTCAGCTAGGCACTGCTGATTTTTTACGTTTGTGTTTTTTTTTTCTGTTTGGCGGTTCCTCTGAATTCCGTTTCTCTTTGTAGTTCAGTCTAAGCTCATAGTTTGATACAAAAATGAAGCCTGTAGTATTGCACATGGTTAGCCAGTGACCACCTAACATACTGTCAGTATGTTTATAGTTGCCACAGTCTCGCAAACTTCTTGCAATGTTTGTTGCTACAGAAAGTATCGGTGATAGGATTGTGGGAAAGACATCCATCCCCCCATTCCCGCCCCCCTTGTACGAGCTGAATTTGTAAGTGTACAGGCTGCTTCAGGCTCCTGCCCATCCAATGAATTCATTGCAGGATCTACTCTGATCATTGCAGGACATGTGCATGACCTTCATTCTTTACAGATGCATGTCGTGGACTGGTCACCTTCATCCTGACATCAGGACTTTTCTGACTACATGATTGTTCCAGGTCACTGACATACTTGGCTGTATAGCCTTGTTGCTGGTACCTTGAAATACATGCGAGTGATGGTGACTTCAATATTTCTATCCTCAGAGGTTCTCGGTCCTCTTTGTCGCAGGTGCAGGTTCCAGCATTATAAGCTTGCCATACACACTACAGTCCATACAATCTCTGTACCATTCTTTAGATTTAAGAAAACTTTGTAGTGCCTACTGAAACAATCTACCCAATTTACACCCAGCCAAGGTATAGGCAATCGTTTTTGATTCTGGAGATATAGGTTCATTTTGTACTGCTTTACAGGCGCTACGAGGAAGACATGTACTGGAGGAGAATGGAAGAGGAGCAACATCATTGGGATGACCGACGGAGAGGGCCGGATGGAGGATATCACCATGGTCCTCCAGGACCACCTGGATTATTGGGAGTGAGACCAGGGATGCCACCACAACCACAAGGACCATCTGTGAGTACAGCATCAAAGGTGCAGCTGTTGGATTTGAGAAAGTTGGGATGCAGTCTGTCATATGCTGCTCAGTCCTGTTAAAGATCGCCAGTCACATTTTTTTTTTGACCACCGTTTTTAAGATCAAGTGTAGCTTTTTCCCCATAGAAATCTGCCTCCGTTTTTAATTTTTAGAAAATAAAACCCAACTTTTTTTTGGGGGGGGGGGGACACAGGAGGACATTTACTGTGACCCAAAACT